CCATAGCTGGCTCCGCGGTATCTGCAGTTCAGCCATCGCCAGGTAAGTGCAGAAAGCGCCTAGCTTTCTACCTCTTCTTCTTCTTCTTCTTCTTCTTCTTCTTCTTCGTCTCCTCTCCTCTTCTCCTCCTACTCTTCCATAGTTCTTTCCTCTACTTCTTCTTCTTCTTCTTCGTCTTGATCAGAGTAGAGATAGAGGTGACTGCAGACATTGTTTGGACACGGCATTCTGCCTTATTGGACACGACATTCAGACCGGACTTACGCGCTACATTGGGATTGAACCGTGCACGACATTCGGAGATCAGACTTGGGTTGGACTTGGTTACCTCCTATGTCCCTCCCCCCTTCTCTCTCGCATGTCTATGGATCTCTCCCTATGTGAGTGAGCGGAAGGGCAATCTTCCTAATGTCCTGCCCTTCCGAAGTTTCTCCCTTTCCTGTCGTTGTCCACGTGTCCTCTTGGTTACTATTATTCCGCTGCGCTGTTCCCCAGCCCATGATAAAGATGATGCAAATGTGTTGTTGTTGTTTTTCTCGTTGGTTTACTTGTTGCWTTGYGCACATTGACATCTGGTGAATGTTGCATCTATGCTGCTGGTTGTTGCCACTTTCATCATTGCTAGATCCTAGGCTGTTAGTGCATTTCACTTTCTGATATGCTACAGTGACACTGCTGCAACTGGACGAATTTGTTGATTTGTCGATTGCAATTATCTTTTGAGTCTTAGGATGTATGTTTTTGACTGAGCCATTAGCTAGATAATGACAATGTTAAGTAGGGTGTGTGGGATGAGTGGCAGGCGCTTGTAAAACAACCTGTCAAGCCCTAAGACCAGTACTGACCCGCGCACAACCGAACCATGTGACGACCAGTGAAGGATTGTAGGTCTGTTAGGGTAGATCTCGGCAGCTAGAGGTATCACCCGAAAGTAGGACACATGGGCATGAGCGGCGGACGCTGGTAAAACAACCCGGCTAGCCCTAAGACCGGTGCTGACCGCCATGCGACTGAACCGGAGCCGATGTTAGGGTATAGCTCGGCAGCTGGAAGTACCACCCAAAAGTAGGATGCATGGGCATGAGCAGTGGGGGCTCGTAAAACAACCCGGTCAGCCCTAAGACCAGTACTGACCTGCATGCAACCGAACCGGAGCTGACGCAGTGAGGAGCTTAAGCCTTGAGAACGAACTTTGTATCTGGTGGCCACAATGTCCTGTTTGCATGGATAAACAATTCCTGAGGACTGTGCTGGCAGACCTTAAACAGCTGGTTGGCCACCAGCTGTACAGGGGTGTGTAGTGATAGGCGTGGGAAGGGAAATAGACTAGGTGACGATATAGGTTAGAATTAGGAAGGTTAAGTGTTGAGGAGTAGGTCTACGTGGTGAGGAGGCGGAGTCACTTACCAACTGTACTCATCTCTCACCATGGACGACGACCCCATGTCGGCCTTCTTGGCCCTATCTGTTATCTGGGGGCTGATTCCCATTTTTCCTTTCCGCTTCGTTTTCACCGAACCATTTGGATGTGCACAACCACCAAGTCCGGGAAGACAACACAGCCGTATACAGCAGAGGAACAGGCACAGACTGGTGCCAAACTGAAGGAGAAAATCCGAAGGAGGAGAGGAAGAAATAGAAGGCAGATGAGTCGGAAAAAAAAATGGCAGAGGATAAAAAGAGGATGGAGGACGGGATTAAGAAGCCAGGAAAATAGAAGAAGAGGAATAATAGAGGAAGAAGCTAGGAAAATAGAGGAAGAGGAAGAAGAAGCGAAATAAGAGTCTTTAACAGAAAAGAGAGGAAACGGAATCCATCACCCTCCGGTACTACCCCTTGTGACTTGGTCTATTCTTAGCACTTGTGTCACTTTGGATTCATTATGCAGGTTATGATCCCACTCAATCCATGATGCAAAACTGAAATGTGAGAAAATGTAAGACTTGCTCAACTCTGTCCTTCGGGACATCCGTTAAAATTGGAACGATACAGAGAAGATTAGCATGGACACGCATTTTAAAAAAACAAAGACTTGCTCAACTCAAAAGAAGAACTGGCGAGAGATAAAGAGCGAATAGAATGAAGACGACAGACCGAGAAGAAGAATTACACAAGTTGAAATAAATGTCTTCCCCCTTTCTTCTCGCTTCGTCCTCCAATAAGCACTTGACCAGTGTTCCATACCCCGACGGTCGGCGGCCCTCAACTGGTCGGATGCCGACCAGCCGCCCGGTTGGCTGATCGGCACCTACCGGTCGGGGGTCATCCGCACCTACTGGTCGGGGGTCATCAGCACCCCGCAAAAAAAAAGAAAAAAGAACAAAAAAGGGTCCAGAACCCTTAATAACCCCACCAACACTGCAATTCCCTCATACACCCCCCCAACACCCCCAAACCGCCCCCCAACACCCTCAGACCCCCCCCCAACACCCTCAGACCCCCCCCAATMCCCCCTGTACCACCCTTATATCCCCCTATACTCCCCCCCCMTACCCCCCCTCATCCCCAAAAGCTTCTCAGCGGATTTGGGCTGTACTCAGCAACCGCAGTACAGCCCCCAACTCAGATTTGAAAAAAAGTAAGTGGATGGCTGTTTTCTTACTGGTCGGCTGCAATACGGTCGGCGGTCCGGGTAGGTGATCGGCGGGTATGCACCCCTGCACTTGACTGAAATAACAAATGAATAATGGAACAGGAATAATGTCCGAGCATTCACCCTTACAGCCAGCACTCAAAGAGCTCTCCTCCCAGGCCCAACCTGACTCCTCTCCTCTCATTCGTATCTCTAGCTATGGCGGCTCATCCATGTCCATCACATATGTTCAAAAGGACAATGCAACTACTGCAGTGTCTCTCCCATCTCATCCCGCCATAGCCACACTCTCGGATGAAATCCAAGACCAGTCGGTACTGCCAACAGGGCTTTCTGGATGCAGAGCTCACCGCAGCCAAAGTTGTCGGCTCCTCTCTCTCTCCCTCTCACAAACTCCGCATCCCTCCTCCACCCTCCTCCATGGCCTGGCATGAGCTGGTTCAACCTCTACCTCCATCGCCTAGGCCTACACCCTATTACTACTACTCCATAGCCATAGATGTCTTCTTCCTCACACTCCACCTCCATCGCTCAACAGGAGCTCCACATAACTGCACCCCTGCCTCACCCTCCACCTCCATCGCTCAACAGGAGCTCCACATAACTGCACCCCTGGGGCGGAGCAGCAGCATGACTGTCGGGTAATGTGTCGCTTCACTCATTCTGGCCGAATGATATATTCTTGCAACTTGTCCTCCGACCTCCCTTGGCCGTAGTGCCATCTGCCTCTTCCAGTGTGCTAAGCCTACTGGAAGTTCCTGCCCTTCGGCGGGACATCATTGCAGCCTGCAAGCCTACTTCAGGGTCTGAATGGAACCCACCCGCCATCTAGGCCCTGACCATGACCTCTTTCGAAGCTACTGGGTGCTACTAAGCCTACCGAACCTCAATTGGCCTACCCAAGTTGCTGGAAAACCTCTACCAGTTACTTACATCCCTGTTGGTCCTGGCCTTTTCAGAAGTCCGTCCAGTGTCCAATTTCAGCCCTGCCCCTGTGGTTCCCCTCTTTCCAAACTACCCCTTCCAGAGGCACAGAAAACATGGGGCGAGAAGACAGTATTTCCAAACTACCCCTTCCAGAGGCCCAGAAAACATGGGGCGAGAAGACAGTACTCTGCATAGCAATCATCGCATAGGGACTTACACGTATGCAAGCAAACAGCAATCTCACTCGGAACACAGAAGTATCAGCAAATCAAACTACCAAGCAGCAATTCTCAGAAAACTGCATAAATCTGAGACTGATTCTTTGCGGGTCATTGCACAGGAGTGAAAGGACCCCTGTCGAGGAGGTTGTAAGTCAGTAGTCCCTAGCAAATCCAGTCCACAGGCAGCACTACTAATAAACCAGACTAACTCTGTGCAGGTCATTGCAATGGCCAAATTCAACAGTCTCCTCTTCAGCAGCTCCACATAAACTGACTTGAAGGTAAGCCCTGTGGAACTGAACTCATCGTCTTAGTTCCTGTCATACAATCGGTAAGAGTCTGTGACAGTTTCCATACCACAGAACTACAATATGTAAGAAGTACATGTTATCTACCCTCAAATACATCCGCGCACAAGCATCAGCAACCATGGCCACATCTTGAAAGTCAGAGCATAGAAACTATTCATGGAGATATATCCCTTAGAAACAAGTCCAATTGAAATCATAGAGGCTAAGACACTAGAGCAGGAACTTGAAGCAAGTCATAGAGGCTAAGACACTAGAGCAGGAACTTAAAGCAAGTCCTGTAGCTGGTCAAGACATGGTGGCTTATTTCTATGGAACCAATGATTTACCAATCTCATGTGAAAAGACTTGCACAACGCATTGAGGTCACCCAGAAGGCAGAATATGCAAGCTCAAGAAGCACAAGCTCGTATTTGGGCATGATATTCAGGAGATACCTTTTAAAAAGGGGAATTACAGTCAAACCCATCCCATCAGGGTTCAACAAAGAGAGGAGAGAGCACAGCAACAAACACTGCTTATTGCTGATGACAGTCAACACCTACTCTTCAGAGTTCTTATGTCTTAGCCAAAATGGCATGCCTGTCATTCCAAGTCGGAGAAGAATCTCGAAGGAGAGCAATAAGGGATCCCTCAGCCTAAACCGAAAGAAGTGTGCATATCTATGACTTGCCGCGGAAAAGGAGCCCGACTAACGCTCCCCAGAATGGATATGGAGTCAGGACCATACGCACCAGTTTCAGGAAAAAAAAAAAAAAAAAAAAACAAGAAGGTGGCGCGAAGACACTAATCACCTTATCTGTGACGATCCCACATAACAGAGCACTGGAGTCTGTAAGCAGTGCTGCGTCAGCACGCCTCTGAGCCATCCGCCGGCAAGCATCAGCGACCATGGTCACATCTGGGATAGTAAGAGCCTTGGACAGCCGCAGAGCCTTCACAGTTCTCTCTCCAGTGAGCTTCCTGCACACACAATCCCATCATGGAGAGAGATTGAACAACAGAAAGGTGGGTAAGAAGAGGGGGTCATTCCAAACGTAATTTCCTCTTCATCTCGTAGAGCTTTTGATTGGGGCACGCTACGAAGACGGAATGCAAAGATGACTTCCATGACCGTGAACTTGACACATAAATTGCGAAAAGTAAACATATATCTTCATAATGAAGGTGCTTGCCCATGAGACAGGCAAATCTACCCTAACACTAAAATGGGAACCCATTTGCCTCAAATCATCTGTCAGTCAGGCCTACCCCTCACAGAACCTTTGTCATTAGAAATGTGAATCCATTTGCCTCAAACCAGTCTGTCAGATCATTTTTGATAGACAGACCTGACCTGCCCTTTACAGAGCTAGCTATTATATTGCCCTGGGTGAACCTGTCTCTGAACCCAGACGTCCTCCTCTCCTCAACAGTCTCGGCAATAGGTTTTGCTCTCACGACTTCTTGGAACATCCCTCCCCTCACAGATGACCTGGGGATCTGTCTAGACATCTCTCCCATCCTTAACTTTGTCCTTCCTATCCAACACAGGGTCCCATGTCTTTGTCTCGTCTCTCATTACCCACACACTCGAATCGCAATGACTATCGTCCTTCATCTCCTCAAAGTCCATCTCTCCTGATCCTTCAACATCCATCCCATCATCCTTGAGGCTTGTCCGAGAGAAGGGCATTTCCTCAAATCAGATGCAACCAGCTTTGGACATAACCTCCTCCTCAACCGGTTTCTTTTCGGTATCCGGCATCGGCTGATCCGTATCATCAGGAATTTCAGTTGCAGTAGGGGCCGTCAAGGAGCTTGCATGGACACAAGTAAGAGTTCTAACGTTGAGATACGGGGCACCCTCAAACATCTTCCCAATACGAGGTGTCTTTATGAACCATGCAGTCGTCATTGGAGGTGCGCAAACAGATACCCCCTCTCCAGACTCAATGTACATCACGCACCCCTCGGCTTCATAGAACAGCGCCTGGGAGAGCGTTTGAATCTTTCAAAAACCCCGAGGGGAAAACTAGCAAGAAGCGGAGTAAAGAGAACAACTCGAATAATGCCAAAAGCGGATGTCGGAGAGTGAGAGACACGAGACGCAGCAAGGCGGGACTTGAAAGCTAGGTGGAAGAGGAAGGCGAAGAGGAGGAAAAGGAAGCAGAGAGAGATGGGCCAGACCAAGAGGGAATCGCAAGAGGAGGTGAGAAAACATGACACCCATGTAATGTACTTGCCGAAGGGTAACTCAAAAAGTGAAGGTAGAGAAAAGTGGGAGAAAGAGTGGCAAGGCAAAGCTTGTGTGCCACAGTCAGAGAAAGGAAAAGGGTGAATAGTGTATCACATTAGAAAAAGGGGTTGTGTATCTCAGTTAGAAAAGGGGAACTCAAGAAAGTTGTTATGTGTTGTGGTTAGGGCAGGTAATCTCGTGGCTGTTCTGTTGATCTCCCCAGTCTGCCATATCACACACAGGTGTCGTTTGCGATTGTTGCTCAAATGGTGGTCTTCAGGCCACATGTCAAAGATCATGGATTCGAGTCTGGCTTCGGACTTTGGGGGAGTTCTTGTCCAGCTTGCCCTGTCATAGTTCCCTCTACATAGTACTGCACATACGTGGCCTTCGGGCATATACATCTTGCTATGCAGTTACTCAGAGAACATATAGCCTTTGGGCAGACACAAACATGGCTCGTGAATATATACACATAGCCTACGGGCTCATACAAGACACAAACATGGCTCGTGAATATATACACATAGCCTACGGGCTCATACAAACATACATAGCCTTTGGGCAGACATATATAAAGAACTATGATATCAGGCTGGGGGGATCTATCAGGTACATCACGGGGTCTACTCACGCATGGCTTAGCTCTCTAGGGTGGGGTAGGGATATAAGTCGCTCCGGCTAGTTGAGTTCCGCCTAGCCTCGGGTAAGTTAGGGGATGGACGGTAGGATGTGTCCTTGGGCGCCGGCTTGCCTTGCTTAGGTACACTCGTGCTGGGTAGACTCTGATATTGGGCCTGTAGAAGATTGCATGAGCCTGGCGTCCGAAATTCACGTACGATAAAATTTGTCCGCTTCCGCTTCCACTAGGGCTGGGGTGTTGTCCCAACCTTGGTGCTTGTCACTGTTGTCTGGTCCAAGTTGCCCTCGATATTGGTAGGGTGATGGTCCTGAGTGCTGGTCACACTGAGGTAGAATAGTAGGGACAGGGGGTCCGCTGGGAGTATTAACGTGGGGAATGGTAGGTGGCCTATCCTGTCAGGACGATCATTGGTTGTCGCGGCCAACAATCACCGCGGGTCTGGTCCTTGGCCTCTACAAGGACCAAAAAAGGGGGAGTGAATAATGTGCCATAATAGGATTTAGGCGACGTAAGAAAGGAATGGTGCAAGAATGACGCGGCTTCTGGAGATCGGGGCGAGACATCAGTGGTTGAAAAGAGGGGCTAGGGAGAGCCCATCTTTTCATGCGCTCGGTTGGGGTGAAGCAGCAATGATCGGAGGTGATGTATGGGTATGAGGGTGGAACGGTGTGGATCGACAATGAATGCCAGCCACAACATATTTCTTCAACGGGCGATCCACTCAATCTATTGGCGACCGACTAATCATGTCTATGGCAACAATTGTCAAGGGTCTGCCACATGGTGCAGGAATGACGCGGCTTCTGGCAATCCAAACAAAACATCAACAGTCAACCATACATTGATAGTTGGAGGCTACGCGAGCAGGGCAATAGGGGACCGACCGATGGATGATTGGTGGTACGTGTCTACGAGATAGCTCTAGTAAAATATGTGTGCACTATTCACGTGTAGGCGTGCATGGGAGCCGAACTAACAATGTGGCATGGATGTTTGTGCGTGAATGAAGATGCACGGGCATAAGCGAGCTCAGATGTGGATGTGCGTCGAGGCCTGTGCACAAGGACGTGGGTAATGTGGGTTGTGTGTACGCGTGAGTGTGTGCGCGTATTGGATGGAGAGGTGAGACTCGATTGGGTGACAGCCAGTCCACCCACAGCGGGACAGGGCTCTTACCGGTGTGCTTGGTAAGCCGGACCAGGGCTGGTAGCAAATGCAGGGGGACCATTGGGCCAGATGGTGGAGGTTCTTTCCCTGCCGATGGGAACGAACTTCCACCATTTGGCCCAATGATCCCCATATGCAGTTAACCTGCTTTCATATACAAGGCTCCATGTGTTGATGCTGGCCTGGTGAGCAAGGTGCTCGTTTGAACGGAAAGACCACCAGTTTGGCTTTCAGCAAGCCCAGCAGGCACTGGAGGAGGTCATCAGAACCCACACCCACAAAGCCTGGAAAACCACAAAACAAGCTCAGAAGGGAGAAAAGGAACCGTAGGCCAGAGCTGCCATCATCGACTCCTACAATCAAACATGACAGGACCCCCGCAAGCTGTTTAGCGAATTGGATGCAGAACTGAACATCCTATGGAACCCCTGGAGGTCCTCAGAACAGACCTGGAAGAGAAGGCCCATGGATACTTCCACATCCCATACCTCCAAACTGACTTCATCCCGCTCCAGCACCCCCCAATGTCGGATCCACCACGCCCCC